TTGATTTTTCTTCTAAAACATGTTTGAAACAGGTGAAATTGCTATTTTCACTTAGTTTTTCATATAACATTTTAAACTATGGCAGGGGTTAGATTTTGTACAAATAAGTGTTTTCTAGAACCAGCAGGCTAATAAAAGACCTTGATTCCCCTAGGGAGGCCCAACAGAGAAGGTTGAGCATCCCCTGAAGCCTCAGCAGAAACTGGCTGTGATGCGCAACATAGAGAAAATGTTACTAGAAGCCCTAAAGGACCCTGCAGAAGTGGGACCCCTCCTGCGAGCCCTTGTGATTGGGAGATACACTGGCCAGGTGGCAGAAGGGCAGGAAGGGAAACTGTGATTGGGACTGACCAGGTCATTGTTTTATATTTAGGATGTATCTTGGTACCTGTTACAAGCACGTGGAGTTCCTAATGATGGAAGAGATAACATCAGAGTTCATGGCGAGAGGAGGTGAAGTGGCCCAGATTCCTAATGTGTTCAGTGCACATGTCATGCTGTCTGTGATGTTTCCAGAGAATTGTGCTTTAAAGTCATTTATGTCTGTGGTGGAATGATAAGATACAGTTTTCATTTTCATCTGTTTTGTTTCCTTTTGTAAATGTCTTTATTTGCATGGGTTTCTTCATTATAATGAGGTAAAAGGTATATTGAATTTAAGCATTCATAAGCTGTTTTTTCTCTATGTTATTTTTGTTTTCACTCTTTTCTAATATTTAGATTTTTTATTTACTTTTAAAGTCAATACTTTGCTGTAATGCAATTGTTGTCAGCAAAATAAACTAGTAGTGTAAGGATTTAGAACAAAATGTTTCTGGCAGAATATGAGGGATTAAGTTTGAGAGATCAAAGGTAAAACCCAATAAAAGCATTACAGAAAAATAGAATCCTTCAGTAAGTATATTGGGTTTTATTGGTGCTATGTAAGGTTAGAAATGGGTGACCATTGATAAAATAATTGCAATGTATGCTGACAGTACACTGGAGATTTAGGCTTTTCTTGAGGGATAGGGTATAGCAGTTGTTTTTCCATAGTTTGTCTCCAATGATTTGATATATTAAATATCACACTCAATATCTGTATATTTTAATGTAAATCTAGTAGCTCATTTCCTGTAATAATGATGAATTCTCACACCATTGAAGTAACATCTGTATTGAGACTCATACATAACAAGTGTTCATTTGGGAATAAAAAAAGAAATATTACCTATTTACAGTAAGAAATAGCAATAGATTTAATCTGACAAATTCAAAACTTACTTATTAGGTGTTCTTCCTGTTTATTATGCATGAAGATATCTGATATCTTAAAAGAGTCTATATATCCTTTTTTGTCTTCCTCAATTACTAATGAAATTGCAGTTGAACTTCGAGCTATGCCTTAGTGTAGACTCTTGTAATATTTGTTTTGCATTTGTCATGTGTCTTCAGTATATTAGTAGAAAGAGAAGCATGGTTGCATTGTTTGTGTTGGTGACTGACTGGTGTTTTGGCCTGTGTAATGCCTCATTAAGGGGGAAAGTGTAGGCTTTGACATATGAAGAGGCACAAGACTTGGAGTGGGAAGTTGTAACTGTAATAAAAAAAAAAAAGAAATTTAGAAGAGAGGTTATGAGAAAATGTTGAAAAAATCTCATAATCCTTGTTTATGTTTCTTAAGCCCTTTGGAGCATATTTGGTACTGTAAAAGCAAAATATGATAAAAATCATATACAGTACAAATTGCATACAATACAAAAGCATATATATAATAGAGCAGTGACTACTACCCTTCCTTCTAAAGAAAGATAAGAGCAAATGCAATTATGATGTTGCTTAAGTCTTTAGTGTGCAATATTGTTTTTCCATGGATGTGAGCTTGATATTCTTACATTCATTATTTTAAAGCTGGGATGCATTGTTCAGTAGAACAGTGTAGGTAGTATCCCAAGTATGCAAATTATTTAAAAAAGAATGATGATACGTAGGCTCATATTTGACACTAGAATATAATCAGCAAACTTTTCAATAGTCTAGTAAATTCAGCTATTTGTTAACTGAAAAAGATTGATAATTGATTAATTAGTCTTATATGAATGTTCTAAGAAATGAAAGAAGTAAGATGTCTGTCACCTTAGTAATTTCATGTGAGAATATGATGATGAAAAGGTGATTTTGTAGACAGTTCAATGTATTTCAATAATACACTTTGTAATGTTTCAACTTGACTTCTCAGATGTGGCTAATGGCCTTAGCTTTTGATGTAGCAGAATTGTGAAAACACAGTTAACATTAAGATATCAAAATGATTTTTGACCTGTGGGATCAATGCATTAATAACACTAGTATTCTTTAATTGTAATTTAATAAAAATGACAATTAGATTATCTAGCATTGCTTGATTCAATGCAAGAATCAAGTTTAAGGAATACTATGCCATAATTATAGTATTTCAATATTTGCTACAACCTATTTAATTTTTCACAGGAATTGATTATTTTCACCATGTGAATAATGAAATTGACGCAGCCAAGTGCAGGATGAGTACTGAAATACTTGTATGAGCATTTGTATGCCTAGCTTCAACTTGCATTGCCTTAGCAACATTATTATTTAATTTTAGTAAGCTCTTTCAACAGCCTTTCTCGAGACTTTGACCAGAAGCATATTCAAAAGATGCAGCCTAATCATCATCATCAAGACACTTTTTTATGTATATTACTTTGAAAGACAACCAGGATGCTACAGAATTAATGTAGGTTCACTGAAAACCAAATGATAATTTTATGATCAACTGCCATCTGAGGACCTTTGGGAAGACGATGAAATCCATGTGAATTTCAGAGCTGTTGCATTTTTCAATATACTTGTGTGTGTTTGTTCTGTCTGTCTGTCTGTATGTATGTGTGTGTTTGTGTCTGTCTGTCTGTCTGTCTATGCGTATGTGTGTGTTTGTGTCTGTCTGTCTGTCTGTCTATGCGTATGTGTGTGTCTGTGTATGGGTGTGAGTGTGTCTGTCTATGTGCGTGTGTTTTTGCGTGGGCATGTCAGTCAGTCAGTGTGTGCCCGTATGCATGCGTGTGTGTGTGTGTATGTGGGTGTTTGTCTGTAAATATATATAAAATTTCAGTGTAGCATCATGGTTGCCTTCTGCAGAAGACAAGATTTGTGGTTTAGGTATTAAATAGTTCTCAGGTATTAACTGAGCTATGACGTATACGAATTTTTCATGTAAAGAAATTAAGCGTTAACATTACAGCCTTAATAAGTTTTCTACAAGTATGTAATGAAATATGTAGAATAAATCTTAATTTTTTCGTATACCAAATTTCTGTATTAAAGAATGTGTTAAAAAGACACTGATACTTCAAAAAGTAAATATATAAAGGTTGCAGTATTAAGCCATTATACCATTATTCTTCGCAATTATTTTAAAGTTTATTCCGTCATAAAATGACTTGAATTTTCCTGGAACTAATGGTTACTATAAAATGTCCAGTGTAAAGTGGCTTTCCTGTTTAAAGCCATAGTTGAAAATATAAACAAAATGAAATAAAACATAAAATCAAGTGCTGTTATTAATTCAACCTTGATAGTAGGCAAAGTATTTGTATTTGTGTTACATAGTAAAGCACTGTTATCACAATTTCATATATGACTTTTGTGACCCATTCTCCTGTAATACAATTATAGTTTTACTGTCATGATCCTCTACAATTACCCTTATTCTTATTTACTATTATTATTTCTGTTTTTTGAAACAATAAGATTATGATGGAGTATTATCTAAACTATTGTATAGGGATGTGCTTCGTAGGAGCAGCATGACGAAGGTAAGTGTCATGTTCAGGGGATACTATGATGGCCTTTTCATGCAAATGACTCCTGTGCAGGGTAATCAGAGCCAGGAAGTCTTCCACAGTGCACTACTTCAGGGTCATGTATCAACACACGGTTCTTTGGTGATGTCAAGAGACTTACCTTGCAAAGTTTATTAGAAATTCTTATGGTTGTTAAGGATATTATCTGAAATATTTCAACTTGTTTATAAATAGAATACAGCATTATAAGGGTCAAAAAGCTACCATTCTGGATTCAAAGAAGCTGTAACAAACACTGAATGCAGCAAATCAATACAAGCAGCACCCCTGCAATCCCTTGCTGTTATTGCTGGTGGGAAGGGGGATTAGGAGACTGAAACTGAGGCCCAAGGTAGGGGATTACCCCTACCTCGGACCTTAGCCCTTGTCACAATTTTACATGGTCTTTTCTTCTCCCTTTTTCCTTTTCTTCTTCATCCCCTTCTCTCCACTTTCCAAGGTGTAAGAGCTGTGCTGAAAGGATGAAAGGCTGGCTTTGTGTCAGTCATGAACAGCCATGGGTGCAGTAATTCCTTCGTTAACAGCCTAGCCCTTACCCTTCATGGGGATCTTGGGCTGTTTCCTTTCTCCACTTATTTGAGGCTTACCATGGCCTATAATGAAGATTTTTTGCCCCTATTAGGGACATTGCTCCTTCATCAGCTAATTGACCTCTGCCTCTTGAGGGGGGAGAATGGATATCATGAAATACTTTGATTGTAGAGAAAATAGGAATAGAGGGATTGGAGGATGGATGAGGGAGCAGAACATTCCCTTGGGTCATGGCTAGGAGTTTTTTTGTCTTCAAGAGTTTCTGGAAAATTGGTTGGAAAGGTGTGAGAAACAAATTTTCTCTTGTGAGGAGAAGAGGGGATAAATCATCACGGAGTATAGGAAAAGAAGGGTGTACGAGAGGATGTGGCAGGCGAAGATGGAGTAGAACATTTTGGTTGTCAGGTGCAACAGGTGCACTTTGTAATGTTTTGGAGGGGTAGGCATTGGAGAAGTGGTGGAGGTTGGATTATATGGATTTAGACTGGAAAAGGAATTGGATTAGGGAGAGGGGAAGTAGAGGTAGGATGGTTCTGGGTAGAGGGAAGAGGTGGCTCATATTCAAGTTTATAGGCAGGGCAGCCCTTATTAAATATATGGGAGCCACCACATACGTATGGCATACGTACGTGACTGAACAGGGCAATTTGAATGATCATGATCATGTTGGGCACATAGAGGTCAGCAGGCTGTGGAGTGACAGTGTTTGGCTGGATGGCCAAAAAGCCAACATTTCTGACAAGGAAGGGGTCGATATGGTCGGACAGGGCAGGACAATCCACCAATATATATATACTTCATGGAGGAGGTCATGTGTATACAAGCTAATCTTGGCAATATTTGTATAAGACTTGCACTGTCCTCTGAGAGGAATAGTGTAACTATGTACTGCCACTGCATCATAGTCAAGGCAGGCAAGTGGGTCATTTTTCATAGTCTGACCAGTTTTTGTCATACTTAGGACAATCAATCGGGGAGAAGGAAACAATTCCAGTACTGGTATTAAGAGAAGAGTGAGTTTCAGCAAGAATAGGTTTACCAGTGAGGTCTGCCAGGGTAGATAGTGCACAAGCTTGGGACGCAGATGTAACTGTGATGAGGTGTGAATGATCAGAACGACTACAAAAGGAAACTTTGTCTAATTGTTTTTGGAGACATTGTTGGAAGAGAAGGGTATTGTCAGAGTAAGGGGCTGTAGGAGGAATCACAAAGAATCAATCCCACTTGGCTGAGCCAAAGAGAGTACTCAAAAGATTTGTAGCGTTGGAAGCATTAGAAGGATGAGAGCAGGAGGAAGATGAGGTGCGGGTTGAGATAGTATTGTGGGGAGGAGGTAGACAATGAGGGGGGTGGGGGTAGACAATGGAGCAGATGGTACAGTAGGAGATGGAGTGGAGAATGTTAGGAGAGAGGAAGGGGTTCTTTCTGATGGTTGAGTAATGACCTGGGTGAGTGGTTCGGAATGGATAGAGGCGTCAGTAGACATCAAGGAGGAGGTATTAGTATCCATGGTCGGAGCTGTGGTCAAAGGAGGGGCAGGAGTCGGGAAAAACAGATTTAGATTGGCTATATAAGGAAGGGCCGGGTCTTAATGTCCCTAATAGGGTAAAACATCATTGTTGGCCATGATTAGCCTAAAATAAGTGAGGAAAAGAAATGGTCTACCCCTCAAGGTCCCCATAAGGAGTAAGGGCTAGGTGATTAACCAAGGGAATGCCATGCTTATGGCTCCTGGAGGCCATTCATGACTGACATAAAACCAGCCTTTCATCCTTTCAGCACAGCTCTCACAATGGAAATGGAAAGGAGGAGATGAAGAAGAGAAGGAAAAGAAAAGACCATGCAAAATTAGTTGGTGTGGGCTGAGGCCTATGGTAGGGGTAATATCCTACACTGGGTCTCATTCTCCATCTCCTAAGCCCCCCCACAACAACGAGGTCCTGTCTGCTTCCACAGACTAGACCTCCCCCATGATGTTCATATTTGTGTAGTGGCTTGCCCTGTCTGACCATATTAACCCCTTCCCCATCAATGTCAGAAATGTCGATGTAAATAAACAAATAAAAAATTGTGTTCTTGGAGGGGGCAAGCTAGACCGTAAGGGGGACAGAAAGAATAGAAGGGGGTCAACTCTCTCCTTAAGCCCCCTGGGGTTAATGGGAGGCTCAGGGGAGGTGGGCCTTGCCAGTCCTCCTCCCCCCAGAGATAACCTATCAGCACTGTCGCATATAATTGGAAATGCAGGGGGAAGGGAAATGCCCCTCCCACCCAGCAGGCCCCACGTGGAGGACGACTGCTGGAGTGCAAGATGGGAACAGGAGCTACTTGTTCCGCCTGTGCTCTGACAGCCGCCAGCCTGGAATGCAGCTTTTGTGGCCAAGCCCTAGGGTACCCCACAGGCGGATGTTGGGTCCCGCAGCCTACCGCCTTCTTTTATGTGGGGCAGAGTCAGCGGGAGTGGCAGGGGTGGCGTCCACTGGGAGTGACTGCCCAAGGGTTAACCTCAGGCGGGAAGTCAGGGTGGGGGCTTGGAACATCCGCTCTTTGCATCAGGATGATCAATTGTCTCTACTATCTAGGGAACTGGGGAGGCTAAGAGTTGGGGTGGCTGCTCTCTCAGAGGTGAGAAGTCTTGGCAGCAGCATGATCAGTGTAGGTGGCTACACCTATTACTTGTCAGGCCGCAGCGATGGTCACCATCTTCAGGGAGTAACCACAGCTATCTCCAGTAGGCTCCAGCCTTCGGTGATAGAGGTTACTCCAGTCGATGAGTGTATAATAGTATTGAGACTGAAGCTAGCATTTGGCTTCAAGTCTCTTATTGCTGTGTATGCTCCTACCAATGTTTGTAAGCTCTACGTGAAAGAGATGTTCTACGCCAAATTAGCATCTGTGGCAGATAGTTGTCCCCGGCGAGATATTCGTATTGTTTAGGGTGACTTCAATGCGGTATCTGGCTGTGATCGAGCTGGCTTTGAGATGTCTGTTGGTCCTCATGGTTTGGGAGTTGATAATGGCAGCGAGAATAGCCTCCTTTCTGGGACTTTGCTAGGTCCCAGAAAGAGGATTTCTGGCTCCTGGTTCCAACGCTCAGACCCACATCGTTGGAGATGGTACAGCGATGCAGATAATGCAGCCAAGGAGATCGACCACATATTCATTAGCAGTCGATGGAGGATCTTCCAGAACTGCAGTGTGTATAGGAGTGCTGAGAACTGTGGTGCTGACCATAGATTGGTTTTGGCTACCCTCTGGGTCTTCAAAACTCCCCAGTGGTCGAATGATCACCCTAGGGTGTTTCATTTGGACAGGGGAGTGTGCTCTGGGGTTTGCTGAGGCAATCTTTGGTTGTTTCATAGCACTCGATAATCTGACGGACCCTGTACTTCTGTGGGACACCGTCAAGCGCGAAATGCTTGATACAGCCCAAGAATCAATTGGTGAACGTCCAAGGGCAAGACAGAATTATATCTCAGAGGAGACACTGGATGCCACAGATGCTTGCCGTGCGGCTTGTCAGGGGATTGGGATTTGCACCTCTCTCAGGTGTGCAGAACTCGGTCTCTGTAAAAAGGGACAAGAAACAGTTTCGTCCTGCATACCAAGCCCTGAGAAAGCTGAACTCCAAGCCCTCTTCTCAGGTGATTGCAGTTCGCTTAGTAAGTGGCCAAATCGACTCAGATCCTGTTGCGGTGCGGGAGCGTTGGGCTGAGTATTTTGAGCAGTTGTACCAGGTTGACCCACCAACAGTTAACAGTTAACAGTTGTAATTCCGTTGCCGGACCCACCCATCAGTGAGGATCCACCCTACCTAACTTAAGTTAGGGTAGTGATCTCCAAGCTGAAGAGTGGCAAAGCAGCGGGTATTTGCAACATTCCAGCTGAGCTGTTAAAGGCTGGTGGTGAACCTATGGAGCTGGTTGCATGCTGTCCTGGCTGCCATCTGGCGGTCCAGTACCATTCCCCCTGAGGGGTGTGGTCATCCTTCTCTGGAAGGGGAAGGAGGACCGATGGGACTGCAGTAACCACTGAGGCATCACGCTGCTCAGTATACCAGGGAAGGTTCTTGCCCACATCCTTCTGAGACCTATCAGAAACCACCTACTGAGGCAACAGAGGCCGGAGCAATCTGTATTCACTTTTGTTAAGTCCACAATAGACCGTATCCTTGCACTTTGAGTCGTTGTAGAGCTCCGTCATGAGTTCGGGTGTGGGCTGCTTGCAGCCTACATCGACCTCAAAGAAGGCGTTCGATACGGTGCATTGGGAATCGCTCTGGGAGATTCTGAGACTGAGAGGAATTCCAACAAGTATTACTGAACTAATAGCAAGCCTGTATACTGGTACACAAAGTGCTGTAAAGTGTGGTAGGGGCCTGTCGAGCTTCTTTCCTGTTAGTTCAGGAGTGAGGCAAGGCTGTGTCCTTGCATCAACACTTTTCAACACTTCATGGACTGGATACTGGGCAGAGCTTCTGTTCAAAGTCATTGTGGAGCAACTCTGGGTAATATCAAGGTTACAGACCTTGACTTTGCCGATGATGTTGCTATTCTATCTGAGTCTTTGGAAACCTTAGTGGTGGCTCTGGATGCATTTAGTAATGAAGCGAAGCCCTTGGGTCTAGAGGTCTCCTGGACCAGGACTTTGGTGACTTGCTAGAACCTGTTCGGTGTGTACGTGCTTGCGGCGAGGACATTGAGGTGACAGAGAGCTTTACATACCTTGATAGTATAGTTCATAACTTTGAGCTGTCAGACCAAGAAGTCAGCAGACGGATTGGCCTGGCAGCAGGGGTCATAAACTCTCTCAACAAGAGTATTTGGGGATGTCGGTACCTGTGCAGAAGGACCAAGCTACGGGTTTTTAAGGCTCTGATAATACCAGTTTTGCTATATGGTAGTGAAACCTGGACATTATCCTGTGCCTTGGAGTCTCATCTTGATGCCTTTTGTAATAGGTTCTTGTGCCGGATCATGGGGTACTGTTGGCAAGACCATGTGTCCAACCAACAGTTGCACTGTGAGACTGGCACAGGGCCTGTTACCTGCACAATCCGGGATCGCCAACTCAGGCTATACGGCCACCTGGCTTGCTTCCCACAGGATGATCCTGCCCACCAGGTTGCCTCTGTAAGAGACAACCCTGGGTCTGTCACTCTATCTGTCTGTCTCTCTCTCTCTCTCTGTCTCTCTCTCTCTCTCTCTGTCTCTGTCTCTTCTCTCTCTCTCTCTCTCTCTGTCTCTTCTCTCTCTCTTCTCTCTCTCTCTCTCTCTCTCTCTCTCTCTCTCTCTCTCTCTCTCTCTCTCTCTCTCTCTCTCTCTCTCTCTCTCTCTCTCTCTCTCTCTCTCTCTCTCTCTCTCTCTCTCTCTCTCTCTCTCTGTTTCTCTTTCTCTCTGTCTGTCTGTCTGTCTGTCTCTGTGTCTCTCTTTCTCCTGTCTGTCTGTCTGTCTGTCTGTCTGTCTGTCTGTCTGTCTGTCTGTCTGTCTGTCTGTCTGTCTCACTCACTCACTCACTCACTCACTCACTCACTCACTCACTCACTCACTCACTCACTCACTCACTCACTCACTCCTCACTCACTCACTCACTCACTCACTCACTCACTCACTCTCATTCATCCTCTTTATGTCTTCTTTCTCACCCTCTCTCTGTTCTCTCTCTCTCTCCTGTCTGTCTCTGTCTCTCTTTCTCTCTGTCTGTCTTTGTGTCTCTCTTTCTCTCTTTCTGTCTGTCTGTCTGTCTTTCTGTCTCTGCCTCTGTCTCTGTCTATCTGTCTCTGTCTCTGTCTGTCTGTCTGTCTGTCTCTCTCTCTCTCTCTTTTGAATTTTGAAAATTGTGGATTACTGTAAACAATGTAAAATGAAAATATCCAAATAAAAAAAGTTGTTTGCTTTGTTTTTCATACCTTTATACTATGCAGAAAAAATTACTGAAATTTGTTGGTAATATCTTAATTTTCACAAAAAGTAGCCTTTTTCCCTTTGTTTGTTTATACTCAAAAATGTATGTATGGAGATACTTTCTGCAATTGAAGTGGCACAAAACTCTGTCTCTGATATCTTTGAACCAAAAAAGATGTATCATTACTCACCATATAGCTCATAACTGTCCATATTTCAGTACAATGCCCAATAAAAATGAGTCCCTGTACTTATATGGCACAAAAAAGCCAATTTTGGGAATGACGATTTTTAAATCTATATTGTAAAATATCTAAATCAGAATGGGATAGGGCCTTGTGCTTTCCCTTTTCACAGCTTTTTATTGTTCTAAAAACAACAAAGTCTGAAATTACAACTGGGATTCTGAATGGAAAATACCCTACTTATTATCATAAAATCAATAAAATATTTTAAAAAACAACAACCCTGACATCACCTGAAAGATAGAATATGTGGGAGTAAATCTTAAAATCCTAGGCAAAAGACAAGAAAGAAAAGCAATAAAAAAAGTCCTTAAAAAGGTTACTCATTTCAGAAGGAAGCGAGCCCTTCATTTCGTGGTACTTGTCTTGGTATATCAGACCTGTCATGTGTGGGTGTGGCTATACCACAGTCCATTAACTTATTAGTTTTGTTCAGGTTCCTTGTATTTCTTTTGTGTATATGTCAAATGGCTTTTAGGCAGCTTACATGACAATGGAATGGAAAGGTGGAAAATATGCTACCTTTCTGCTCAAGCACCTTTTGAATACCAACTAAGTGACATCATCTCATTTGAATTAGCATGGTGAAGGGGATTTCTATACAAAGAATGGGGAAACTCAACACTACCTTCTGTAAGTGGAAAAGCACTAATACAGACACAAAATGCAAAATGTATGACATTCCACATGAAAAGGAAGAAAAATAAAATATAGAAAGAAAGCAGGAAAAGGAAAGAATGAATGAAAATATATATACATGTACACAACCAAAAGTTTTGTATTTTTTTCCCAAATGCTTTGTCAAATCAGCTGTGGTGGATGTCACAATGCCACAGTTAATTATTTTATATCTAACCGTGATACTACTGCTTACTGGTACACAGAGACTGAGAGATGCCTGAATGTGATAGTTTATATTCATGCTTCTTAGAATTGCAGGTTATTCCACAGGCTCCATTCTAAAGAAAGAATGATATATATAAAACTATTTCTTCACTTAAGCAAACCATGCTGATGGCAAGTACACAACTAAAATGCTGAACACCTACAAAAATATTCACACATGTATGGAGTAGCCACAGCATTTAGGGCTCTAGGAAGTGGGGACTATAAAAGTTGGACATGGGTTTTGACCATATTACCTATACAGGGGAGAAGGGTACAGGTAAAATTACAGTGCTATGCAAACAGAAGCAGAATGGTAATAAGAGGTCTCTGTTAAATAGATGCCTTAACCCATTAGAACTGGTTGACGTGACCAGCACAACCGGAAAAAATTTGGCTGAAGCCTAGATGACAGGAATGTATCATCATAAAAATTTCAGCTGAAGGCTAGGATGACTAACCCTAAGTACATAAAGCTCTTGTAAGAAGATTAAAAGAGCCCCTTTCTTGTAGAAAGGGGCTCTTGCAATATTTCCACTGGTAAAAGAAGGTAGAATGTACCATCTATGAGCCATGGCGGGAAAAGTGCAGGCTCGAAAGAGAACATTAATTCCATCCTCAGGATCATATTCCTGCTTAACATGACCAATAGCACAGGGTGTGATAAAGAAAATTTAATAATATGAAAACATTTCTAAAATTACATAAATAAAAAAAATGTTTCTTATTACGGTTATTTCACCAAGTTATAAACTACCTAGAGAGATGATATGTGGTATGGGCAAGGAAAACAGCTTATAACCATCTTGATACAGCATATCAAATGATAAATACAGATTTTGGAAAATGGCAAAAAAACATATAACATTTATGCAGAAATAGAGATCATGGCATTGCGAAGGGAAGGCAAGGAGTCTTGACATCACACAAGAGTCTTCATGTGGGTTTGGCCTGCAAGCCACACACCAGGGTGAGTTACCAAGTCACAAGGAAGCCTAATGCATGGATTTTGGGTCATGGGCAGGCAGCAAGGCACCTGGACCCAAAGGGTCAATGCGAATATTAAAATAAGATGATAAAACTCGAGCACTCTTAAAAGTAGTTTTTCAAAATACTGCCGGCAAGTTTTTTTTCTTGTTCATTTTACTTCTACAGAAATACATCTGTTTGTTTGACAAAAAGTCATCTAATAAAATAATAGTAGGAAAATGAAAATACTAAATTGTGAATAAGATTATGATTCTCTATCAAATCAAATGAAACATTGCCTATAAAAAAATCTTCAGTGACAACAGAGCGACAGGTGATTTACAAACTCATAATATTCATACATCTCTTCACCTTCAATGGAAAATCTCCTACCATGATTCAATAATTTATCTGATACACTTATATGATATAAATATTCTATTTATACAGCTGATACAGTCTCCACATGCAGTATGAAAATGCAACTAGAGAAACACAGTTGTGTAGTATCTTTCTTCGAGAATCATCCTTGTGCACCAAGACAATGGGTGACGCAGATGACAGGGATTGGAGAGGCAGTCGTGACAGGCGTCCAGAGTCATATTCAACCTGTTGAGACATATCATCATCAGTCAGATTAATTTGTAAAAACTTACAAATATCCTAAAGAAAAGATTAAGTACTAATTAAATGCAAATCAACAAATACATGCATTCACCCTGTAAACTGTTAATAATACAGAAGCACTGTTAATCACCATTAGACCTATTTCCTACACAGGTTTCAATCATGTAATCACATTTTCAAGCTAGCTATCCTTTATACTCCTAAACCTTCCTACTGCACCATTTCTCGTCTTGATGTCAATCATGATACACCATCTTACCACACTAGTCATCACTTGCAAGCATTTCCCATTATTATTATCATCTTTTATTTTATCATCTGGTCCATATCAAAAAAATATAAAATTCATAATAACCGACTGTACACTATACTGCAGATTTACATCTTTAACTGCAACTATGGAATATTTCACAAAATATATAAATCTTTTGTAAAATATTTACTTTTCCCATAGTTTCCTCAACTGAACAACTTTCAAACAATATAACTATTAAATAACACTATAAATGAAGGCAGAAGTCTGGTCAAGTAGTATATGCATTCATTTTTCCAATCTCCCTTTCAAGATAATCAATTAAAGAGCATCTAGTTCATAAATCATATTCGATCTTATTACTATTGGCAATAATCAAAGTATTATAATAAGCAGGCAATGAAAGATGGCTCTTGTTTCTGGCAGACTGTACGTAAAAAATACATATAACATAATGCTATTAAGATTATAATTGTGTGTGAGAACATAATTCTGTTCACATCTTCATACAGCATTCTAACAATAGAATATACTACATTTGCTACAATACCTCAATTCTAAATTCAGCAGCCTTCATTTGAACTAGTTAAAGAAATATATATAAAAATACCTAACACTCATCTTTGTAATACTGTTACCTGTATTTCATTAAAATACTATTACCAATTTATGATTAAAAAGAGCTCACCTGATACTTGCAACAAGGGTCAAACTGCCATGATGCCGTGTAAACGCCAGTACAGAACAGAGACAGAGTGCCGAGAGGGACACAAACATAAGCAGTGTCTCGCCAGATCAAACCTGAAGAAGTGTGGTAATTCTAAACTCATGACTGGATACAAAGGAATTTCAAACTATAATGCCTACACTGAATTCACTACAATGTGCTTCAACTTAGAATGTTAAAGATACTAATAATGAGAGTGTACTACACTGTTTACTGACAAGGCATCTTACCCTGTTCCTTGGTAATAAAGCATCTTGTCATATTTCTTTACTACAAAGCACCTTATCTTATTCCTCTTTTACATGGCATCTTATTTTGCTCCTTTGTTACAAGATATCTTACGCTGTTTCACTTTTAGTGGCAGGATGTTATTTTTCTACTTACCTGACAATTATGCAAAGAAGAGAGAGAGAGAGAGAGAGAGAGAGAGAGATAGAGACGAGGAGAGAGAGAGAGAGAGAAGTATAGAGAAGAAGAGAGAGATGACGACGATGGCGGAACGACGTAAGCGAATGGGCTGCGGGACAGAGCAGACGACAGCGACGAATGAACAAGAAGACAAGACGAGGAGAGAGAGGAGGAGACCAGAGACCGGGACGAGACAGAGACCGCCTCGGCGGCCGTTGCAGAGAACAGAGGAAACAGGAGCAGAGGATGATAGGACAGACGGAGCAGAGAGCAGAGACCAGAGGACGAGAGGACCTAGAGAGGAGACAGAGACAGATGAGAGGAGATAGATGAAGAATCAAGAAGACAAGAGCAATGGAGAAGATGAGTTGAGACAGGGAGACAGAGGAGAGAATGAGATCTGTTGAGGAGACAGAGTGAGTTAAGAGAGAGGATTGAGACAGAGAGAGAGAAGAAGAGAGATAAGAGAAAGAGGGAAGCTAGATGAGTAGCATCCAGTATGGACCTTACGACAGATTTGGTAGACTAAAGAGATAGAAGAGAGAAAGAGAGAGACAGAGAGAGATGAACAGAGTAGAGAGAGCAGAGAGAGAACAGATGATAGATTTTAGAGAAAAGATTGAGAGAGGACTATATTTGTTTTGACAAGAAGAGAGCGAGAGAGACAGAGAATTTTGCAGTTTATTTTTGTTGACGAGATGATACAGACGAGAGACTGAGACGAGTGAGGACAGAGTAAGAGAGAGAGGAGAGACAGACGAGAGAGAGAGATAGAGACAGAGAGAGATGAGAGAGAAGATACAGAGCGAGAGTGAGAGAGACAGATAGAGAAGAAGATATATAGAGAGAGGAGACGAGAACAGAGAAGAGAGAGAGGAAGAACAGACAAGAGAGAGAGAGCAGAGGAGAACAGAGGGAGAGAGAGAGAGTACAGTAGAGAATGAGAGAGAGAGAACAGAGAGAATGAGAGAGAGAGACGCAGAGAGAGGATAGAGAGAAGATGGATTTTTTTGATATTCAGTCAGAGCATGAGATTGAAGAGAGATCAGCGAAGAGAGGATATATTGAGACAGTAGAGATATAGATGATAGAGACAGAGATATATATTTATTTCTTAAGAGAGAGATGGACAGAGAGAGAGGAGAGAAGAGACAGAGAGAAGAGGAGAACAGAAGAGAGAGACGAGAAGAGACAGAGAGAGAGAGAAGAGAGAGACAAGAGGAAGATCAGAGGATCTCTTTAGAATATTCATTGAAGAGTATGTATGATTTGTATTGAGAGACAGAGAGAGACGACAGAGAGAGATAGAGAGATGAGAGACAGAGAGTATGAGATAGAGATGATGACTAGAGATGTGAGAAGAGTATATAGTGGTAGAGACATATGAGATGATTAGAGAGAGATCAGATGGTAGGAGATGAGAGAGACAGAGGAGAGAGAGACGAGAGAGAGCATTACAGAGTTTATGGAGAGAGATATTATGACTGAGACAGATGATGAGAAGAGATGATGGGACAGAGACATGATAGATGATTAGAGAGAAACAGAGAGGAAGAAGAGAGAGAGACATAGAAGAGAAAAAGACAGAAGAAGAAAGAGAGAGAGTCAGAGGAAAGAGGAGAGAGAGACGGAGAGAAGGAGAAGAGAAGAGAGAGAGAGAGAAGAGAGAGAGAAGAGATGAGAGAGACGAGAAGACGAGAGAGAGATGAGAGAGAGAGAGGAGAGAGAAGAGAGAGAGATAGAGAGAGATGAGAGAGAGAGAGAGAGAGAATGAAGAGAGAAGAGAGAGAGAGAAAGAGAAGAGAGAGAGAGAGAGAGAGAGAGAGAGAGAGAGAGAGAGAGAGAGAGACAGAGAAGAGAGAGAAGAGAGAGAGAGAGAGAGACAGAGAGAGAAGAGAGAAGAGAGAGAGAGAGAGAGAGAGAGAGAGAGAGAGAGAGAGAGAGAGAGAGAGAGAGAGAGAGGAGAGAGAGAGAGAGAGAGAGAGAGAGAGAGAGAGAGAGAGAGAGAGAGAGAGAGAGAGAGAGATGAGAGGAGAGAAGAGAACGGAGAGAGAGAGAGATAGAAGAGAGAAGAGAGAGAGAGAGAGAGAGAAGAGAGAGAGAGAGAGAGAGAGAGAGAGGAGAGAGAGAGAGAGAGAGAGAGAGAGAGAAGAGGAGGAGAGAGAGAGAGAGAGAGAGAGAGAGAGAGAGAGAGAGAGAGAGAAGAGAGAGAAGAAGAGAGAGAAGAGAGAGAGAGAGAGAGAGAGACGAGAGAGAGAGAGAGAGACAGAGACAGAGAGAGAGAGAGAGGAGAGAAGAGAGAGAAGAGAAGAGAGAAGAGAGAGAGAGAGAGAGAGAGAGAGAGAGAGAAGAGAGAGAGAGAGAGGAGAGAGAGAGAGAGAGAGAGAGAGAGAGACAGAGACAGACAGACAGAGAGAAAATGAGAGAGACAGAACATACAGGTACCTAAAAGTATAAAAGGTTATATCAATTTTACCACTGCTTTTATGTATACTCCTAATCTTTCCTGTGATACATCAACTTTCCTAAAGTTTGTTTCAAATACAGGCAGCACAAATAACCTAACACTTATTAGCAATTTGCCTAAATTGGGCCATAAGATCCAAAAATCACACTATGACAAAAATATAAAATTCTTGTTTCAAATCAAAATCAAAAGCAAATCTACATGGATAAGACCGCTCATCTCCTGATTTACAAACTTTAATCTATACAGCTAAATCCTGGGTCCTCTAATTTGATTATATTCTTCACCTGAAAACCTTTCTAACTCAATAATAGTACAAGTGCAACAATCCACAGCTGGATATCAAGAGGAACTCTATAATGTGATGATGATAATTCTGTAGCTAGAATTATATTTCCAAATTCAGTGATTATTTGGAATAAGCAATGATTCTAAGAATATAGTACTGAACTCTGGAACAGCACATGACTGTGAAAGTCGTATCTAATTAATTAGAATATGCTCGATCAATGTGCTCTTCATTCTTTATATACAGAGACCCAATATGGTCTCTAAAAGTTTTTTTTTTCTTTCTTAATACCTGCTTTTAAAATATGCATCACCAATAAACTGATATATAATTGTTAAAATCAACTTTCTGATCACCATATAAATACAAAATGAAATTAATAAATGCAGCCTCGCAAGGATCGGGATGTAAAGGGTTCGCTAGCCAGGGAAAGTAAACCATGCATTTTCCATTACATTTTCTGGTTAAGGGTTTCAACACCAACGCCTAACAAAACCAAGGGATACACAATTTGAAAACAGTTGAGAACTACTCTCATAACTCATTCACTGCTTTGCTGAAAATAGTAAAAGTATGATTCTTTCTTGAGTCTCTTTTAAATTCTTCTTAAAGACGAGTAACTGATTTAAAATAGCAGTGAAGCAACAAGAACACACACGGAGATGAAAAGTAACTGAACACCACACATACATAGACAAATACCAATATATCCCATAAAACATTAGAAACAATGGCTGAGTTGCTAAACTAATATTTTTACCTGTTATTCATGTAAAAATATATTATATCTATAAATGTTTTCTCAGTTTTCCTATGTTGATGTGCAAGGTGTTCTGTAAGCAAACACCATGCATGTAATGTTTGATTTACTACTAGAAAGCTGATTCTCTTAAAATACAAAATATATTCCTAAATTCATCAAAAACAATGCATGATCATATGCAAGTCACACTCAAAAGTTCTTGTATAAAATCTGATAACATTGAATTAATCATGCTTGACAGATCAATGAAATTAATACATTTAGTTGTACTCCTTTCACCTAATTAATATTTCCGGTGTCGTAAGGAGGTAACAGAAAAGGAAATTGCATGTAATTCTAGTAACAGAGTTTATACAGTAGCAATAAAACCATATAATACTTATTGTTACCCATCTTTCAGAGTTTCTGGGTTCACTCACAGGATCTGAAATGACACCCTATCTGTATCTCAGTGGAATAAACTGAGAGAGAAACTGACTACTGGTAATTTTACCCAGCTCACATGCCCTCTTGCAGTGAGACAATTGGGGCAGTGTGTTAAAAGGCATAACTGACATGTGAGCAACCTGCATTTTTTCCAAATACCTTCAATGCTGTTAAAACTACATACATTGCATGTTTATGTAGTAAGACTGAAAAAAAAGCTTCTACTTAAAGTTTCAAAGATGTAAAATTGTGCAGCAGTTTAACCCATTTACACTGGGTGTCAAGCATATGTGACACCCTGAAAAATGAACATTGCCGGGTGTCCCGCCTGTGTGACAATGGATCAGAGCTTGCGCTCCGATTCTGTCACAGGCCGCGGCCAGCACGCAGGCAGATACTGGGCCAGCCCCACAAGCCGTTTTTGAAACTGATTTTCGGCTTCAAAATATGCTGTTGCTAATGGGTTAAGAACAACAAGGGAGAGATAAGTACCCTCTCACAGTAGGGTATGCCCCAGTCCCTAAAAGCAACTCTTACAATCTTGAGAACCTACAGAAAGACAAGAACAGTATCCCATATTTCTGAGGGGCCCCATCCCAAAGTTTCACCAGCAGTTTGATAAGCAATTTCATATCTTTGAAGCCTACATGGAAGCATTCTCTTATTTTCACAACATTATCATATAATACGCATAGTACTGACATCACTAGGGGTGTCAGAAAGGGTATGATACTCATATGTCTGCTCTAAATGTCTTGCTTTGTGAGAGTGTTGGGAAGTTAGGTTATGTTACCAAATTGTGACACAGGGTGTCATTTCACATCATGCAAGTGCCTACATTCACTCCATTAGATGGGTGGAGTATATTTTGATGGACATTAGCTTCAAATATACACAGTTTTGAAATAAATTACAACTACATTTTTACTTGATGGACACCAGGTTCAAATATACGCAGTTTTGCAATAAATCACAACTACTTTCTTATTTTCCATCTTTTTATATCATGAGTTAGGAAAAACAGTGCATACACTCATAACACAAACCTGACACTATTGATCCAAAGCCTGCTAACACTGCGGTTTTGTGAAGACAGTTTCCGACTGCAATCCATCTAGCCGTTTCGTCCCCTAGGGTTGTTGGTTCGATAACAATTGTGTGTATGCCAGCTTCTAAGGCTCTTTCCAGTTCCATCTCAAACTTCTCCTGTGCTGAGTCACTGTCATAAACTTCTCGTATAATGGCTAGTTGTAAACTAGGTTCTCTGTTGGGTAAAAAAGAATTACAAGTAAAAAGAAGAAGAAGAAGAAGAAAAGGGATTTTTAATATTCAAAATCAAAATCATCTGTTTACTAGATTAAGTTTGATGTAAACTGTGCGTGCATGCATGTGCATGCATGTGCGTGTGCATGTACATGTGCATGTGTGTATATATATATATATATTATTTATATAATATATATATATAATTATAATATTTTTATAATATCTATTATCTTAATAATATTAGAAGTTCACCTATATATAATATATTATAGTATATTACTATATGGGCCAGTATTGTGAGTACAATTATTGATAAATTACCTTTTGAATTGGCTATTGCAATATTGCCTTAAGCCTACTCTTTGGTAAACAATAGATTATATAAAAAACAATTTATTAATAACCATATATATAGTATACTAGATTTAGAAAATTTATATCATTAATTTAAAATAAGATATAAGATTTATAGAATAAATAGAATAATTAAATATATCATCATATTATATAATAGAATATTATATTTATCTATATAATAAAAATTAAAATAATGGTGTTTTTTCTCGGGGCGTTGGGGGTGGTTGGTTTTTGGGTGGTTGGGTTTTGGGTGTGTGTGGGGTGGTGTGTGGGGTGTGAGTGGGGGTTTTTGTTGTGGTGTGGTGGCGGTGTGGGTGTTTGGGGTGGTGTTGGTTTGGTGTTGGGGGTGGTGTGTTGGGGGGGGGTTTTTGTGGGGTTGGGGATGTGGTTGTGGGGGGGTGGGTTAAATGTTTGGTTTGTGTTGCGTAAATATGTGTTTGTGGGGTGGGGGTTGTTGGGTGGGGGGGGGGGTGGGTGTGGTTTGGTTTTGTTGGGTGGTGTGGGGTGGGGGTGGTGGGGTGGGGGTTTGGGTGTTGGTTGGGGTTTTGTCGTGGGGTGTGGTGTGTGTGTGTGTGTGTCTGTGTGTCGTGTGTGTGTCTGTGTGTGTGTCTGTGTGTGTGTCCTGTGTGTGTGTTCTGTGATGTGTGTCTGTGTGTGTGTGGGGGTGTTTGTTGTTTGGGTTGGGTGTGGGTTGTGTGGGGGTTTGGGTTTTTGGGTGTGGGTTTGGGGGGTGGGTGGTTTTTTTTTCTGGGGTGGTGGTGTTGGTTTGTGGGTGTGGTGTGTGTGTGTGTGTGTGTGTGTGTGTGTTGTGTGTGGTCTGTTGTCCTGTGGGTGTCGCACTGGTGTGTGTGGTCGTGTGTGTGTGTGTGTGTGTGTGTGTGATGTGGTGTGTGTGTGTGTGTCCGTTGTGTGTGTGTGTGTGTGTGTGTTGTGTCTGTGTGTGGGGGCGTGTTTTGCTGGGTTGGGTGGGTGGTGTTTTTGTTCCCTGGTGGTTGGTGTTTTGTAAAGTTGGGTGTGGGGGTGTTGTACGGGTGGGTTTTTTTTGGGGGGTTTTTGGGGTGCGGGTGTGGTTGTTGTGTGGGGTGTTGGCCGCTGTCTTGGTGGGGGGTGGTTGTTTCCCTTGTTTTGTTCTCGGTGTGGTTTTCTGGTGTTTTGTTTGGTCTTGGGTGGGTGTGGGGGTGTGGGTGGTTGTCTGGTGTTGTGTTTGTGTGGGATTCTGGGGGTGGTGGGGGGTGGTTTGTTGGGGTGTGGTTTGGGGGGTTGGGTGTTGGGGGGTGTTTGGTGGTGGTTGGGTCGTGTGGGGGTGTTTGTTTTGGTGGGGGTGTGTGGTGGTGTGTGTGTGTGTGTGTGTGTGATAGTTGTGTGTGTGTGTGTGTGTGTGATACCGTTGTGTGGTTGTGTGTGTGTTACGTGTGTGTGTGTGTACGTGTGTGTGTGTACGTGTGTGTGTTGTACGTGTGTGTGTGTGTGTGTGTGGTTTGTGTGTGATGTGCTAAGTGCTGGGTGTGTACGTGTGGTTGTGTGTGTGTGTGTGTGTGGTAGTGTGTGTGGGGTGTTCTTGTTGTGGGTTGGTGTGGTGTTTTTGGTGTGGTGTGTTGGGTGGGGGGGGTGGGCGTGGGGGTTTGGTGGTGGGGTGTGGTGTTTGTGTGGGGGTTTTGAGTGTTGCGTGTTTGTTGTGTGGGGGGTTTGTTGTGGTTTTGTGGGTTGGTGGCCCGGGTGTTATCCTGGGGTTTGTGGTACCTGGTTTTTGTTGGGTGGGGTGGTGAACCCTGGGTTGGTTTGTACAAAATGTGTTTGGGTTAAAAATGGTGTGGGTTGGGGGGGGGTTTTTGTGTCATAATATTGATTTATAGTGTACAATAGTTACCGTGTGTGTTGTGTGTTGTGTGTGTGTACCTGTTGTCTGTACCTGTTTACCTGTGTGTGTGTGGTGTGTGTGTTTTGCTCGTGTGTGGTGTGTGTGGTGTGTTGTTTGTGTGGTGTTGGGTTTGTGTGTGTGGTGTTGGGTGGTTGGTTTTGTGTGTGTGTGTGTGGGGTGGTTTGTTTGGTGTGGGGTATGAATTATCTATCTATAAGTAAATAATACGAATTAATAAAATATAATATTATTATATTATGAAAAAAAAATTATCTTAATATTAAATAGTTTATATAATAATTATATATTGAATATCTATCTATCTATCTATTTATCTATCTTGTTTATCTATGTTCTATCTATCTATCTATCTATTTATCTATCTATGCTTATCTATTTATCTATCTATCTATTATGCTATCTAGTTTTTAATCCTAAATCCTATCTTATCCTATACTTAAATCCCTATTCTATCCCCTTTAATTATGAATTATCAAATAATAAAAATATTTTACTAATATAATATAATTAATATTATATATATATCATAAATTATTATTATTATACTATATATTATTAATATTATAAAACTTTTTTACTTCCTCTCTTCTCTCTTCCTCTTCTCTCCTCTCCTCTTCTTCTCCTCTTTTCCTCTCTCTCTCTTGT